GGGAAAAACATCAATTAAATTCGTGTGGTGCAGATGAGTAAAGAGAGACCAAAACAATCTCTCTATTGCGACTATCATTGCACATCACTTCGCCTAATACATGTTCCGGTAGATTTAACTACCTATAAATAGATGGAAGTTTGACCCGTGTTAAAGGTTGGGATGTGGCTGACGATTCGGGATGTGGCTGCGGGTTGACGAAAAGGAAAAGCGCGTCTCCGATAGGACCGAGCCAAGTAGAAAGTTCGTGTAAAGCGCCTTTCCCAAGGACACAACGTCGGACCGAGCTGAGGCTCGAACCCCCGAACCTGCAATCTCAAACTTACGAGTCCGGTAGCCTAATCACTAGGGGGAAAGGGAGAAATACAGATAGATAGATAGATAGATAGATAGATAGATAGATAGATAGATAGATAGATAGATAGATAGATAGATAGATAGATAGATAGGGGAGGGGGAGAGAAGGGGGAGGGGAGAAGGGTGGGGGAGAAGGAGAGAAAAGCAAAGAGGGAGAGGGAATGAGAGATAGAGAGAGAAAAGAAGAGAGAGAGAGAGAGAGAGAGAGAGAGACAGAGACAGAGTTCCGCGGAAAGATGAAGAGGGAATAGTGTAGAGGAGGAGAGGGAGAGACTGGTGTAGAGAAAAAGTGCACAGAAAGAGAGAGAGGGGGGGGGAGAGAGAGAGAGAGAGAGAGAGAGAGAGAGAGAGAGAGAGACAGAGAGAGAGAGAGAGAGAGAGAGAGAGAGAGAGAGAGAGAGAGAGAGTTCTTCGGACCCTCTTTATACTACTATGCGAATTATAATTTCTCTCTTGTGATGATAAAACACGCCGCCTAGATCTATATGTTCAATCTAACCGCGTCTTTATTTCCTGTTCTGTATTGCGCTGTAGGCATCAAGTTACCCAACACAAGACAATTACATTATATGTATTTTTGAAACCTTGAAAGTGCCCCATCTTGCTAGGTATCTGTTATGATTTTGTGCGGGTTTAGGTTTAGAAAGGGTTAGATCTACCAATGATGTTTGTGATTCACCACTCCCCAAAATATTCGTGTCATCAATATCTATAAATAGCCGAAGTCTCAATGGCACATGACAAGGGAAAACTATGATGGGTCACATCAAAACAGTAAGAACCTGTTCTTCTCTTATTTTGGCATAAGCATTATACAGACTTCATCTCTATAAACCTTTAATTATTTTGAAAGAGAAATATTCCCAAGTTGATATATATTTATGTTTCTTATAATAATATCTGTAAAAATAATCGAATAACCTTTAGATTTACTGACCGCTCCCCCTACCCGGAAGTTGCTCAACCTGAAATTTCCTGAAGTAAACAGAGCAAGAGACTTGGACGTACCTCAACTGGAGTGGTTTCCAGAAAATTTGACGAAGTATTTCTCATTTTTTTTCACAAGAACAACTCATCATGAATCGTTTATTTGGCCGAGGAAAGCCCAAGGAGCCTCCACCTAATTTGACTGACTGCATTTCCAACGTAAGTACCTAAATTTAATTATCTAGACTCTAGATCTACAAATGTGTCAGTGTGCGTCTTTTTATTTTTGTGTTGTTGTACAAGTACAAGGCCTACACCATCATCATGATGTAGATCTCTAGAATCTAGGCCTAGATCTACATCTAATGTCTAGTATAATCTAGGGCGATTTTGTAGTTTCGTTCGTTAAAGTCAAGAGTAGGGGGGTTTCAGGAGGGCTTGCCCCCTGACCTAATAAAAATATGGAGGTGGAGGGGAGGGGGTTCAGGGGGGCCTGAATTTTATCCTAATTTGATGTTTTACAGTTAGGTTGCATCCCAGCTCTTTGTGTAGCCTAATTCAAATAGTATTTGGTTTTCAAGACTTCTGGATTTCTTCTCTGGATGTAAACAAATGGATCGTGGACTTAAACGAACGGAACTACAAGATCACCTAATCTAGATCTCTAGATGTAGGGAAGGACTTCCGTTACGAGCGACCACCGCATCAAACACAATAAAGAAGAGGCCTTCTAACCCTAACCCTACTACCGTGACAGTAAGTTCTATTCTAATTCTAACCCCAAACCCTAACCCTACCCCTACCCGCCCCTAGATCTAAGTAAATTAATTTGGTTGTCTACAAAGATGCTACGGCTATTTAACTTTTCGAATGGAGCCGAACTACGCGGGTCGCCATTTTGTTTTGACCGGAAGTTC